CACAAAAAGCCACAAGGGCCATCGAGAATCGCCTACTTCAGGCTCCGCACCCATCCTTGACATCAATCTTACCACGTGACCTGCCTGAATTTAGCTTGAAATGAGATCCTGAGACCGATAGAACTTGTCCAAGCCGTTATTAAATGTTGCTAGGGAGGGAAATCACTACAAATTCGTTTGGCAGTCCATTCCAGTGATTCACGGCTCTCTGATTAAATAACATCTGCCTCTTCATAGTTCTACTCCGGCCTTTCGTTAAATGAAACCGGTTTCCTCTAAGTCTTGGCCTGATTTCAAGCGCTCCTTGAAGATCTACCTTGTTTGCCCCTTTCATAATCTTGAATACCTCTGTCTGATCTCTTTTAAGTCCGCAATGTTTCAGTGAATGCAAATACAGGGCCTTAAACCAAACCTTATATTCTTAGTTGTCAATCCCATTTATCATTCTACTTGCTCTTTGTTCTGCTCTCCCCAGCCTACCTATATGTTTTTGGAAGCATGGGGACCAGGCCTGTACACGATACCATAAATGTGGTCTGAATTAAGCCAAGTACAGTTTTTTGGCAACATTCCTACTCCTGTAATGGACGTTCCTGTTAATAAGTCCCAGCATCCGAAGTGCCTTGCTCTTAGCAGCCCCACACTGCCTTCAAATTCCTGCGTTCATATATTAGCCTTCATATCCCTGGAAATCATAACCCCTAAGTTCTTTTCGTACTCAATCTGGTCACGCTCTCGGCCTCCCATTGTAAATGACAAGATTGTGCAGAGTTCCTGGCAGGTGGGATAGAAAATAAGCACTTTGGTCTTCAGTGACTGAAACTTGTCAGAATCCACAGCACAATATAATGCAAAGAACTAACCACGACCTATTCCTCTCCTACCCGCGAAATGCACACTGTCAATCTTGGCAAATGGTAGCTAGATTACTGACGATTGGTGAACCCCCACTCCGTCATTCATGACCAATGACTTTATTGTAGTGTAGTTGATAGCAATACGGGCTTCCCTATGACCCACAATATTGGGAGCAGTCTCCTGAAACAAGACTGTATAACGCCGATTTGAATAATGCAAGAATGTCATAGCAAAGTTTGGATGAAGATCGCAGAATACGTAACAGACAATCCTCTGTTAAATTGAGCGTTGAAAGCGTGATAGTTATGCACCAAGTCCAGACAAAGGCAATCGCAGCTGAGTCCTCTATTCCTATATTTGTTATATAAATCGGCCAATGTTCATATTTGTTGGTAGCCGTGGGATCCCACTGGCAATGTGATTTGCAACCAGTACTGTTTTGCTGTGTTCGGCGGCGGGTGTCTAACTTCACTTAGGCCTTCTGCTTTGCACAAATCGTTGTTCTTCAGTGGCATACTGTCCTGATCAAATCCCGTGTTTCCGCAGAGAAACTGCATCCCGTCATTCCAAGTACCACCAGAACCATTCATCTTCGGGAGCCGCGATATAACAGACGGAGCGTCCGTTTGTGGGCATGCTCAGGCGCTGAGCCGGTGGTCCGACTGTGTAGCATCCCCTCAAATGCGTTGCCCAATAAATTAGGCTAACATGTCAAAGCAGAGCAATCGTTTTCTTAAATTGAATCGCATTTTTGAGAGAGTCATTTACTTGAGCAGGATGGTAGTGATGGCTTACAAAGGAAGTGCAAATTACGTAAGCGCAGACGATATTTCACCTTTCCTTTTTTCACATAACACAGTAGCTTATATTGGATCAAGACCATCCATGAGCGGCTCTCACCGGTGTGAGGATGAGACCCTCAAAAGAATGCAAACCGACACCCCTTTGAAGTACCATATATTTCGGCTAGCGGCTCCCACACAGCTTGACGTGCGTAGACGGGGCGTAATTTCGCTGGGCCAGACGCCCCCGAGCGGTGCTATTTCACACTCGGTGTGCTGCCATCCGTAATATTACAGACCATAGCCAGCTGGGTCCTCCAGTCCCCTGGCATCTCCACGGCAAGTCTTCTTCAGTTTTGCCATTTCGCCTCCATCATGGCCAGTACGGGGGCCTCTCAAGAAATTTGGCGGCCATCAACATCCTCGCTCCAGTCAATCCCGGTCTGAGAGGGAGCAGCTTTTCCACCTCCACTGCAATGGCCTGTAATAATCATGTACGAGTATGGAGTCTTGCAAGACAGCCAACGCCAACCGTTCGGGCCTATCGCGAAAGCCCTTCGTCGGTGTTTCCCTTCGTCGGCATGGTGGAGGCTCTCGGCAAGCTCCTGAGGTCAACTGGGTACGGGTCAAATGGTTACGACCAGTTATCATTTGACACAGATTAGCCACTTGGACCATTATACATCCATTCCAAAGCGGTCGAGCGCACTGCGTTCTCTAGGGAAGCCCACTGCTTTCCGCTCATTTCCTGGCCAGTCTAAACTCGTCTCCTCGCTCTGACGTTATTGCTGCAGGATGCCAGTCATGCCAGAGTCAACGCCACTTAGATTTTCTTTTAAATTAAGAAATGATTCATTGTTTCCTGCCTTGCACCATCTTGGGGGCATGGCCCAGTTAACCAGACCCCGCAATGGTCTGTTCTACTTTCGCCTCCAGAGCCTCCAGACGATGAAGGAGTCGAGCGGGCATGTGCCCCCTGCCCCCTGAATGCGGCCTCGTTCTAACAATAACTTACTAAAACAAGGCAGCAGCCCCTTCCCTGGATCCGCCCATGTTCAGAAAAGGCGCTTAAAAAATATGTTATGACAGAGGGCAATGCAGCCGATATGGCGACCGTCCCGACACGCCCCGAGAGCAGCGCATGCCGCGTGGACGACGGGAACATGCCCGCCCGACTCCTCCATCGTCTGGAGGCTCTGGAGACGAAAGTAGAACAGACCATCGCGAAACTTCAGACAGCTTTAGATCATGGGACAGATGGTCCTTGCTGACGGGCTTGCTGAAGCCAGCGACATGTTTGAGCTTATGGGCTTGCTCCGCTAATGGGCCTCTGGTTGAGACGGGGTGAGGGGGTTCTCGCCCGATGCTGGAGCCTCCGGCTGACACACGGACTTTCCACTCTTTGATGATGGATGCGAATCCCTGCATCGCCATTTCACTTACCTCCTGCCTTTGTCAAGTCGGCCCCGACCAACACGAGAGGCCTTATGACCTTCGGCGTCCCGTCCTTGGCCCCGTTCAGCAAATGTGCCCCTGATCGACCTGAGGATGATTGCCAGCACAAGATCCTCTTCTTGGCGCTGTCGACCCCAGATCAGCACGGGGCACTTCGCTATTTTAGAGACCCTGATCAACGCAAGAGGCCCTCTTGTTGACATCTGCAGGCCCCCGGCCTTGATCATGCATGGGAAAGCGGCCCCCTAGGGCTTAGACCGGCGCGGAACCGACTGTTCGGCGCTGATAGTCTCAGTCAGCTAACTGACACACAGACCTTCTCTGTCTTATCGAGCCCCCGTTCGGTACAAGAGGCCTTCTGATTGACGTTTACCATTTTGAGATTTTGGGGGTGCGACCCTCAGGCTGGGGTATTTTCATATCACATCTGGCTTGCCCCTCGGACCCTCCAATCGGGTCCTTGATCCTCTCCTCCGGGGGGCCCAAAGGACCCCTCGGGACCCTCGGGACTTAAGACCTATGGGGAGGGCGTGGGATACATGTTACTGTGCTTATAAATACGTCCTACCTCATTCTAGACCAGTTCATCGTGCTTCATGTGCTTTCATTGTCAAAAAGCCCCAATGAACGGAATACGTACTCAGGTTCTCGACACTGTCCCTGTTCAGCGAATGGCACCCGACGAACGTAAGTGATCCACTGTTGGGCGGTGTGGGCCCCTAACCTGCAGGGGGGCCTCAAGCCCCAACAGTGCAACAAAAGGCTTCTGACTTCAACGCGCACCCGGCCTTGCCCTGCTTAGGAAATGAGTCCCCAGGCCGGTACGGGCTGACGGCTCGGCGCTGGTTCGCTCTGACCGACAGTCCCAGGGCGCCCCCGATCGCCGCATAAGGTACGGTTCGGCGGGCCAGCACCTAAATTGGCACTGGCATTTCAGAACCCTGCCCGGCCGGTCGGGACCCCTTAATACGACCCCCCCCCCCCCCCCCCCCCAGTCTGCCGCTCGAACCCGTCAACGTTTGTCCCGAGATTCCTCAGGCCCCCCGGAACTAAGGGGGAGATCTCGCCCGCGCCGCTGGTCCCAGCATCCCAACGGAGTCGCTGAGCCAGCTGTCAATGCAAGCTTTTACACCTTCCCACGATTTCTCTGCAGCTAAAAATGTTGCAAACTTGCTTCGGCCATCTCGGAACACATTCGAACTTATGAACCCACAAACGACACGGGCCCCGTGCAGTCAGTTTTGCGGGATTCTCTGCAATGCTGCACGCCGCGCACATCAGGTAGCGTTGCATGCTTCTGTAATACAAAACAGCATACTTAATGTTTTGCACGCCGGGTAAAAAATAATCAGGACACCTCCACTCCTCATTCAAGTTTCACAGCAAAGCTGTCATCAAAATGTATCAACAGCTGAGGATTGCTAGCAAAACTGCCACCCGAGCCTCGATTCACTCTTTGAGCGCGTACCATTCAAACCGCGGGACTGAATTCCGATCCCAGCATGATAGCGACCGCTTCCGTCATGGCCTATCTGGGAACAGCGGCGCTGCGGCCGGGATCCACGCAGGCACCGAGTACCGCATTGCAGTAAAGGACCAACCAATCAGAGAGGAGCAAGAGGTTCCGTGCGTATGAACATAGTATTCGTGCCTGAAAGAACGTAGTTTTGTGTAGATATACAAATGCACTTAAACTACCACACATGAGAAAGTGAGGGCACATTTTAACGCATATAGATATAAGTATGAGCAGAACAGCCCGTGAAAAGCACTTCATATTTGAAATTACTTGCAAATTGCTTCAGTCCTTGTGTGAAAGTAGTTCCCTGCGCACGGCGGCAGTACTCGAGTCGTCGGCGCGGGAAGCCGGGTGCCGCATTTGGAGGCGAGGTTCAGTCCGGTTTGAAATTGTGTGGGGTGTGGTACGTGACTTCGTGAGCAAATCATATCAGCATGGTATGTATGATGCTGGACTTGCTTTGGCGGTTTCGTCCTGGCTTACTTTGTTGGTTTAAGTTTTTGGGGATCGGTGGGGCCAGGAACTGGTGACACCTCCAAAAGTGGGTGCAACAAACTCCTTCAATAATTTTCCGAATGCGCCCATGTGCACGTTCATTGGCTTTTGGGATTTGGGTTCTGGTGCACTTCCTCCCCCCCCCCCGACCTTTTAACATGCTTGTGATGCGTCTCGTCGACGGAAGCGGATATTTACAGGTTCTGTGATTGGATCGGTAGTGATTCTGGTTGTATGGTATGTAACGGTCCAAGTGGATGTTGGGCACTGGCTTGGACTGGGCCTCCTTTGGCTGTCAGCCATTGGTGCCCAATTCATTGAGCACTTCCTTATTTTTACAGCCTGAATTGTAATGAGGCTAAGTTGGATTTTCCAAAATTGTGAACTTTTCAAGGAATTAAAGTGTCTGAAGTGCATTTACAGCTTGGATGTTGGGAAACTCCACTTGTGTGGGAGACCTTAGCACAATTGAATACAATCCTGTTTGTAGTGCAAACTGATTGACACATCAAAGGCATTTCCCTCCACTTGTTTTGACTGAAATGTATGAACTAGGTATGTGCTTTGTGAGGTATTATTGCAGGCTCACATTGTCCATTCTAAACACGACAATGTTATGCAAAGTTGACCCAAATTGACCTCTGTGCTGGAACCTTGATGGTTTAATGAATACATATTTTAGAGCACCTGTCACTCCTGGGCTGCTGCTGTACCACCTGAGTTTCTACATAAAAGGGCCTATAAATGGTGTGGGTGCAGGGTGTTGTTCATTTTAAAGTTTGCTTAGGTGTTGTGAGCGGTTCCTCAGGCCATTTCACAATGTCCTGGGCAGAGGTATGGATTTTGGGCTAGCATAGCAGTTTTGTCCCTCCCTTAACGAGAACCTCCAGGCATAAGTGTAAATTCAATTTAATTGTAAAAGGCTTATTTATTTTGCATTGCTCATTTTGTGATCCTGTGATGTCCAAGGATGGTTGTTGATCTGCATGATCTGCAAACCAACAAGACATTAAGAAGTTAGCCTTGTAATTATGGGGTCCTGAAACCACAATACCTTTTAGGTAAAATTAAACAAAGGTCTATGATCACCTTTCTTTGGAGGTCCTCCACTGTGTATGGGCCCTGGGATGGTCTGTGTTTGATCATTTCACTAATGCCCTGCTGCAGCTCTGATGTCCTGTACATGTTGTGATGTCTGTGGGTAAATTGGTCAGTGCTAAGTTCATGGAAATATCCACACATTTTGTATTATGGGTCACCCAGTGCATACACAAAATTTGGGTTCTCAATCTTTCCACTGAGTGAACACTGAAGACCAGTTGGTCACTTAGGTGTTGTGAGCGGTGTTTGTCTGGACATCGCTCTGCATTCTGACAGAAATTTCATCACTACACCTTTTGTGTGCCTCTCAGCAAGCCATGGTATGTTTGGTTCGGTGCTGCAATGTCGTGTGTATGTTCTGGCAGGCCGACCAGCTTACTGAGGAGCAGATTGCCGAGTTCAAGGAGGCGTTCTCGCTGTTTGATAAGGATGGTGACGGCACCATCACCACCAAGGAGCTGGGCACGGTGATGAGGTCACTGGGACAGAACCCCACTGAGGCCGAACTCCAGGACATGATCAACGAGGTGGACGCGGACGGTGAGAATATAAGGGCATATTGAAACACTTGTTGCCTCTGGTGAAACGTGAACAGTATGTCCTGGGTGGTGTCCATTTCAGTGATAATGTCCCTCATCGGATGGATGTGGTGGTGAAATCTACTTCATCCGCTCGCTGCTGGATGTCCTAAATGGACAGAATTGCTGGCTGTAGGGTCGTTTCCTGCGCTGATTTACTGGTGCCCTCGGTCCACTGATGCAATGTGATGGTTCACTTATCCATGAATGGTGTTGCCATTAGAGACCTCTGCTTTCAAAGGATGACAGTGGCCCGAGGACACAGGCTTCCGTGTTGTGTGCCATTCACCTGTTGCAACCTTGAAATGGATGCATGAACTTGGAAACCAGCTCCATCCGCAATTATGGTGTCTGAGCGGCGTGAAACGGATTGGCACGTGACTGGTCGCAGGCAACGGTACAATCGACTTCCCTGAGTTCCTGACTATGATGGCGCGGAAGATGAAAGACACGGACTCCGAGGAGGAGATCCGGGAGGCGTTCCGCGTCTTTGATAAGGACGGCAACGGCTTCATCTCTGCTGCGGAGCTTCGGTAGGGAGCGTGTTCGTGTTTTTCCATGTTATTTGAAGCAGAAACATACCATTCGGTAAGTTGGTTGCGGCTGCACTGCTTGAACTTGTGCACGCATAGTACTGGGACAACCACAGCCACACAGTCAACAATGTCTTTATATTTTGGGAAGTGTTTTGGTTAAGATCCATTTTGAAGCTTTGATGCCCCTGTATATGTGTGGCCTCATGCTGCATTCGTGATAGTTGCTGCCAGGATCGTGTTCTTAGTTGTCTTTCCTCCTCGTAAAGAGAATGTTCCACATTTGAAGATATGGAAGGAAGCGTGAGATACGATGAAAAGCTCACTCTCTAGATGACGCAGTTTCTCTATCCAGTCAATATGCATCTCAATACGTCATTGTTTGATTTTATGATCACACCTTGCACAACATTGACAGCCACTTGACGGCCGTGAAGTCTGGAAAGCATGCTCACAAATACCATATATGGATGACGCGACAATTATATCTTTCTTGGCCCTGATCGCTGCATGGACAATGGAATGACAGGATTTGAATGACGTTACTGGGGGGACGTCAATACCTGGGTGACCTTGACATTGCCTCTCCGAGGTAGTCTGCGCATTTTAGTGGGCGTTTCTTTTGCAAACTAGAAGGACTGGGCCTCAAGAAGGGCAGGGCTGTCAACTGTACTAGTTGATCTTCAAGATGGCTATTTCAGTTAAAAACCGCAAGCGAATGTGGAATACTCCCTTTAAGCGACACTACCCTGCCCTTGTTCGCCCCTTTACGCGTGAGGCTAGACGACAACCCAGCCTGGTTCTCTTTTCGGATGAATGAACCTTTCAGCCTTTCATAGCAGCGCCAGGATTGCCTCGGTACGACCAGGCCCTTTACACTAGCTTGGCGAACGGGCCGGTACTGCGAGCGTACTGCACGTTTCCCGAAGTGAATAGCCATCGATCCAATGCATGAGGTCGTGCTCCGCCCCGCGGACGGTAGCTAAGGCACTTATGTTGGTCGATATATGCTGTCGGTGGTGCGGGCTCCAAGCACATTTTAGCGGTAGTCCTCAGTTGAGCGTATTTATATGTACAGTTACATTTGTTACTGGCGGGGTGAGTGAGCATGCACTCCTTGATCCGCGCGTGCACTGGTGTTTGACGGAACCTCTTACGTTAATCATGCTTCCATCTGTTGCGATTTGTTAGAGATAAATACGACAATTAACGCTTAATGTCAACAATATCAGTTAATATGTGATAATGCAAATGGTATCATTTTACATTTGACATTCTGTTATGAGTTCACATTTTATGATGATATTGATAATAGCAACGTTATATCGGGTTTCTTGTCATCAGTCTTTAGTCTCGTGATAAGACGCATCGCTGACTTTATTCCCAACTGCCAGCTGTGGTTATTTTCTGAGGAAACCAATTCTAAACTTATCTGCTTAATTAGTGGGATGGCCCATTGTATCCATTTCATCGTCTCCCGATCGCTGGTCGTTTGTTATCGTCATCGCTGATCGTAGCGCAAACCTACCGGGAAATCGACGGCTTTATTGATGGGGAGCTGTGTGATCGACACTCATTAAATCGTCGTTGGTTGTCACTGTTAATGTAAGGTGATTCCTGTCAGCTAAATTACTCGTTAGAGTAAAGAGCACTCGATGGCTGAAAAGTAGTTGCTTCAGAGAGGTGCATCTTCTCGCTTGCAGAATAGGCGTCGACAAGATCGTGAATTCTGAGAATGAGCTGCACTGTTCTGGAACTGGAGGGTCAGCCCGTTTATTCAGTTTATAGCCCTGTTTCCGGCTGAGCCCACTCGATGGGTCTGCAATTGGCTGGAAGATGTCCATCCAGTTGTAGGGCTCAGGTGGGATCTGCAGTGCATCATGTTTGTTTTCTCAACTTCCCGAAGCCTGCAGCAGCGGTGGACACCAGACACCAGCTTGTTGGCGGCAAAAAATCTGGCTCGCACATCATGCAAACAAACCAATGGGCGACACGCTGCCCGGTTGCGAAATCTTTGGTGGCGTTGAAACCAGGGCCACTGGTGAAAGACGCCCATCGACCGACACGACGCCAGAAGGCGAGCTGCGTTGGCACATTATCCAAATTTACGCGATCGAAAAGCAGCCTTGCGTGAACATTTACCCCAGTGATAACGCGGGTGCTTTCACCGAGCAACACGCAAGAGATTTAGTGCCTAGGTTTTGTCCGGAACCGTGAATGTTATGCTCCATTGCTAAGTTGCAGGCTTGTGATGGTCCTATGCTACGCATCGATCGGTTTGTATTTTCCAAGTGTTCAGAATGATCAGGGCATGTGGTGCGACTAGATGCAAGTGATAACTTAGTGAAAAAATGCCGACCTTGACTGGCATAATATAAAGCAAAATGTCACCGACATGACCAGAGGCCAGAGATCATGGACCGTCGGGGCTGGGAAATTAAGATTTGCACAGCACGTATGAGAGTGTTGTAAACTCATCCCAAATTTCAACACCATGCTCAAAACCGTCAAGAAGTTACTCCGGGAAAACCTGAGATCATTGCGGACACGAGAGAACCCTTTTCCCCGAGGCCCCTCAGAGGGCGGGGGTTGGGTGTGGCATGGATTATGAGTTCTTGCTAGTACGTTGTTATATTTTGGCTCAGAATGGACATACAGACTAGACGGATATCGGCTTTTTTGGTCCGTTTCTATGTCGCAAATTAGTTCGGCACCGTAAGAAATCACGATGCGGTTATCGGTCTTGTGGGGCACGTCAGTCATGGTTATCAGTTCAAGCCCTTTGTCAGGCAGCTCATAACTTGAGTCTTTAAGTGTTGCGTGAAGCTAGAAATATTCGGTTCCGCCAGACCGTCGCACATGGCCGTCACGATCTGAAAATCGTTCACTTTGATTGCATCGTTCTCTTCAAGTATTTTGTTTTTATTGAAATCGCCCCGAACACCTCACAGTTGCATTCTGCGTGTTTTGGCTTGAATGTCATCCGTCTGATTGGAGCAGGCGCCGTAATGCTAAATGTCGGCACTTCCTTCATGCTCTCGCATTTTGAATTAGTTTCCACTTTAACTTTGTGGTTCTATGCATATTAGCCTCGTGATCGCGCATTTAAAGTGACAAAAGCATTTAAGATTTACGCTATCGTATTTTTTTCGTTTCCGGTCTTTGCATGAAGCGAAATAGTGCATAACATGATGGGGATGGATTACTTTAGGAAAATGTGTCCGAGAGCGGATCTCCCCTTCAGCTTTTTCGAAGAATTGCCTTTATCTATTGACTTGTGATGGTGTCACCGACGGGTAATCCGCCTTATTAATTGTGCTGTCGTCCAAGAAGAGAACTGCCGTTCTGTGCGTGGACTTCCCCACTTCCCCTCTGCTCTTCCCTTTCCCTTACCAGTACCCTGTCGATTTGGCAGCATTCGTACAAGGTTACTGGCTGGGTATATTTACGATGTATTTGCATTGAATTGGTAGTTATTGGGACGGAAATGCTGCTGATGTCCGGTTCTATCAGTCATTTCTTGATGTGCAGGAACGTATTTGATAGTACAAGGTGGCGTAGTCCGCTTTTCTGAAAGCCTAAGCGTGGCTCATGTACGATCCCGTGTGCTACCACATGCTGCCAAGCTGCCGGAGCTCGTATCTCCTTGATGCCTCTGATTTGTATACTGGTACTAAGACGTGTTGCTCAAACTCGCGCTAGTCCTCATTTAAACAGATGCATGATGCAAAATTCAACAGCGCCGGTAGCGCAGCCACGTGTGGAGAATGTAGTTGATGCATCCATTCGTGGCGTCAGTCGCTCACCATGCATTTTGGCGACAGGCATGTGATGACGAACCTAGGCGAGAAGCTGACTGACGAGGAGGTAGACGAGATGATCCGGGAGGCGGACATCGACGGTGACGGCCAGGTCAACTACGAAGGTAAGCGCTCGCCTCGCGATGTTAACATTTGTTGATAGGCATGCGTAATGCATGTTCCCGAACGTTTGCCGGACGTCCCCGCGGCGCATTTAGTACCAATGACTCACATACTGCAGGGTGTGGTCGTGTCAGCAGTTTTCCCCGTGTTCCCTCGTCAAGTTTTCCGCCTGTGCATCTGCCGCAACTGCGGATCCGACGGGCCTGTTGTTCCCGTTACAGAGTTCGTGACGATGATGACGTCCAAGTGAGCAGCGGGACATCCGGTGCGTGCCGTTTTTGGAGAACATCCGGACAGTGTACATGGCTACATTGTGGGATGTGGCTGGCGCCGGCCGGCCGGCCATACCGTCGGCCCAACATCACGGCCAGCGCGGCCGCCGCCGGCCGGGAGCGCGGTCCGCCGCCTCCGCCGCGTGACGACCACCAGCCCTATACATTCCTGATTTTTATACGTCTCCACTGTGGTAGTTGGGTCGCCAGCTAGCCGCGACCGTCGCCATGTGCTGTCATCACCGCTCTTCGTGTCCACCATTTTATTCTTTGCGTTCCCCCGTGATGCGTTCTTTTTGCGTTTCCAGCGTGGCTCTTGATTTCATGAAAGGCAGACGTTTTGCCGGCGTGCAAGCGCTCATAGGCGAGTGGAAGGTACATGCAGATACCAATGTCAGTCAAACGTGATTAACAGTGATTTAGCGATGAAGAGCATGGTAATATATGATGGAGGTCCGCGTGAAGAGATGTTTGCGAAATACCCAAATACCCAGAACAGCTACCACGTCAATGCGTTCACAATCAATATGCTGGTATAAAACCATATTCATATAACTCGTGTGTATTTGTATCTGCGAAAGCGTCGGCTGACTCCCATGTTAGCCAGTCATAGTCGCAGTCAACTGACGGTTGTCACAACTTCAAACTCATTTCTTGCCTATGCTATAATTTCTAGATCTGTAAGTGTCCCTTTTGGTAATGAAAACTCAAATTAGTGACTTCTTGATCACTTATTTACGGAATGGATGTATAAAAACGCCAGCTGACCTGCGTTTTTTAGGACAATACCAAGCGACACGTCTGGCGAGGTCAACTGGCAGTTTCCACACAAACTCAAAGCCATTTATATATATATATATATATATATATATAATGTATGTATATATATATATATAATATGCATATGTATATGAATATGTTATGTATATGCATCGATCCAATGTGGATGAAATCTATTTTCGTCGCGCTTCCACGACTTGCTGCGGTCATCTTCCATCAGACTCGAGGTGGTGTTTACGTCGACAGTGCTGTGAGGTCGCCGTAAATAGTGCGATTAGAACGCAACATGGCCGGCAAAACAAGTACCGACGAGTTTTGTGGTGCATACGTCATCCTTTCCAGGCATCGATATGTTTCCGCTGCCGCTGCCCACCGGCAATGGCTGTAATTCTTTGGAGTTAACCCACTATTCAGGTAGGAAGGCAAGGTCAGGCAATGAGTGGTATCGCGAGGTCGGACAGCGCAATGATGTCGCACCAGGGTAGCGTGTTCGTGTCTCAAACATAGGTGCTTAAGTTTAGACAACGGTTATTGGATCACGGCCAGAGAAGTCCACCAGCGGTCGCCAATGTCACGAGCAATGCAACGGCGATAGCAGAGGCCCTGTGGCGGCGCGTTGCAAGTTACATATATATATATATATATATATATATATATATATATACTGGTAATAACTTTCTGCAGCTACCGACATTTTTCCACGCTAGTTATTTGCGAAATTGTCACCCGACAAGGACAGCTGGCCGCGGGGAAATGTACACGAAACGGCAGCTGACAAGGTCAACTGACAGCGAACAATGCCAAGTTATTTCATGTGCATATGATTATACTTCCTTCAGCTGATGTCAGTTATTGTAATTAGAGCTTTCTCAAACGGACGAGTTCGCGAGGGGGCTCCCGGAGCTACAACCCCCCTCCCCCTCCACTAGCGCAGACGGCCGTTCACCCACCCAAGCACTGCGTGGTCATCTGCTACGCTCAGCCGCTCCAGCGCGTCGCCAGTCGGCTGCCGGCACTTGTTAGCGGGAGGCCGGTGCGCGTAGACAGAAGGCGGCGGCCGAACCGATGAAGACTAGACGCGGAGATGGTGGCGTGGACGCCGCGGCGGTGCCGCCTGCCAGGTGCGGCACGCGGCAGTCCTGCGCGCCAAAAACGCTTACCATCGACTGGTCTAAGTCGTGTGATCACGACAAGCGGGTAAAACAAGCGGTTCTCATGATGTTTTTGTTCTTTTTTGTGACGGCCGCGGATGTTTAAGTCGTGCATGTATGAAATATGGTACATTACACTCAATTGCGGTCACTCATCAGATGCTTAGCCCTGCCCCTAAGGGTGATGTGTACCGCTAGCGGTGGCCGACCGAGGTCCGTGGCGTGCCGACCCTTGCGGCGCGCCGACCTCGTGGTCACTGCCCCTGGGACGGCGGCTGTACCGCACTGTCGTGTCTCCTGGGACGGCCGCTGCGGCTGCATTGGGCCTGCACGACTGCCGGGACCGGCAAACTACGGTGACCAGCGTGCGACCAGACTGTGTGGGGCGGTCCGACAGCGGCACACGCGACAGTGAGCCGAGTGTAGATGCAACTGTAGCTCGTGGTTCCTGGGTCTTGTCAACGGGAATGTGAAAACTAGCTCCAGCAATGCTCTGACAGATAACGTGCACGTATCTCGACGTCGTCCTCACCATCCGCCCTCTTAACCTCATTCTCAACGCATCCTATATCCTCGCGACGCCCCGTTTATCCGGGGCAGGCTATGCGTACCGGCTGCGAGTGGGCTCAGTGCTCAGCTATGGGGCCGGTTGAACACGACGCGCTCGGGCTGGGTGGGTGGGTGGAAGGGGTCGCGGTCAATTTGAGCCGCTGAGATCTTAACAAACCAAGAGGGCTAGAGACACTAAGCTTACTGGGCGCAAGACCTGTACATGGCCTCAATTATTTCGAACTTTTAGATCCCGATGTCAACTTTCAGGTTTAATATGGTCAAAGGAGACAAATTCCAAATCTGAGAACGAAGCGCCCTGCAGGCCTCGTGGCGCTTCTTAAACCTAAATACCTCCTCAAAGCAAAATATTACTTTTTTACAGGTCAGTCACCTTATTTGGCATTGAGATCGTCACGGTGACAAAAAACCAGCGAGATTGTTTGGCTCGTTTAACTTAAATGAACGTCACTGATAAAGCTATGTGGCGTACTATTAGAAAAAAGTTCATGGGGGTAATTTTAAGCCAGTAAGCTCCTCTGCCTTCATAAAGCTCAAATGATACCTCTGTTTACATCCCTGTGATCAAGACATTCGAGATTTGTGTTAAGTACTATTTCATATAGCAAGTTTCCCAGTACAAATGTAGTTTGGTTTTGGCCTTAGTGTGAGCTTCACACCTAATCCAAGGTGAATGGAATTGGCTGTAATCGTTAGTTCAAGCGTCTATTTTTCTAAGAAACCATCTCAAAGATTTATGGCTCCGTGAAATACTCCGTTGCCTCATCAGATAGAGCGAATCCCTTGAAAGTGCCTTCGCTGGTAGCTATTGCCTGATTCCCACCAGTCGTAGATCAGGAACGGCATATCTATGTGTTACCAAAAGATGGGATATGTAATTGCCCACAGATATACAAAGTTTGGTACGACAGCACTGCGTTATTCGGAAAGTATATTTTAAAGTCCTCGGAGTAAACTTACTCCAACCCGAGCGTTTCAATGGCCGCTGGTGGAGGCCCGTCCGGGCGCCCAGCACATGCCCCGCTTAGGGGCTCCTGAGCGGGCTCATGCTCGACGGATGCCGACCCCCAGGTGCATGCAGGTCTGCACCACCGCCACATCCGCTCTCTTTCATCCCATGGCCCTGAAATGCTCATGGCTGGTTAAAAGGGTTGTTATCGAGGCAACCTAAACAGCCTAAACCGTGTCGCATAATCAAGACCTACGGTCAGTTTTAGGGCACAAATACACGGGAATTCATAAAAGTCATCCGGGAAAACACGCGGAAGCGGAATATGAGCTGGGGGACGCCTCTTGAAGGCGTTTTTTTACCGTGCGACGCCGCACTTTCGGCATTCTCAAAGCCTGGGGGCCACTGACCCGTAACCCATATTCTCTCCGACTCGCGCAACCTTGGCAAGTCATGACCACGGCCCTAACATACGCATCGCGTGATGTCACCAAGGTGTCACAAACCTACGAAACTGCTTCAGACAGTGATGGCATTGGACTCAATGACACGCCAACGGAACACAGACACGACACTCCCTCGCAACGCGACGTTCACCCGGGTAACGACAAGGGCGTTGGACGGTGTGTGAGCCGGGGCCCGTGGAGGCGCCGTGCATTCAGAACAGCGGCGCGGCGGGCGCGCTGGGCGCCTCTAAACGTGACGCGACTCGCAGTTGGACTAGCGCCTGCCACTGCCCGAGGCCGGCTGGTCTGGCCCCATCCAGACCGTCCTGCTGACGTCAGAGGACGGCTGATCTGGCCCATCCAAGACCGTCCTGCTGACGTCAGAGGACGGCTGATCTGGATCCACCAAGACCGTTCTGCTGACGTCAGTGACCGGCTGCTCTGGACCCATCCAGATCGTCTTGCTCACGTCAGCGGACGGCTGATCTGGCCACACCCAGACCGTCCTGACGTCAGCAGCCGGAGAGGCGCCGTGCCTTGGCTGCACCGATTGCCTATCTGTTGACTCGGTCAGCGGATGCCGTCACGCCCCTCAGCGCGGCAGATACGGCGAGACGGCGTCGAGCTCGCGCTCCGTCCCGGGACCGCGGCCGCCGCTGCTCGGGCCGCCGGCAGTCGCTCCCGACCGGCCAAACACTCGGAACATACGGCGAGACGGCGTCGAGCTCGCGCTCCGTCCCGGGACCGCGGCCGCCGCTGCTCGGGCCGCCGGCAGTCGCTCCCGACCGGCCAAACACTCGGAACATACGGCGAGACGGCGTCGAGCTCGCGCTCCGCCCCGGGACCGCGGTCGCCGCTGCTCGGGCCGCCGGCAGTCGCTCCCGACCGGCCAAACACTCGGAATACGTCCTGGGCGTCGCCGTGAACGGGACTCCGTAGGAAACAGGCCGATGGCCGGCAGGCGCTTAAGCGCGCCGGTTCACCGCTGGTTACGTTCGAAAGCAAGCCCTGGTCAGGATTTGTTTTGGTGTTGGTTTCAACTATACGATGTTCGCGCGCTTACCTCAGCTGATTTGACGAAACGGCGTCCCCGCAGAGAAGTGCTTAGAGATTGTTGAGATGAGCGGATGTGTGCTTGACTCCAGCGGAATGAAATCCGATTATGGAATCGATTCCATTTCGCACCAATGGCTGGGGAGCCGAATCACATCCGGAATTTATTCGCACGGCTTGTGAGAGAATCAGACTTGATTCGATTTCGGCTAAAAAATATCTGATTTACAAAATTATCTCACCATATTATCTTGGGTGATAACCGTTCGTTCGGTTGATGGAGAAACAACGGGTCTGTACTAAGTTGTATCTGCCAGAATTACACAATTTCACAATTTGGAAGGCAGGCATTTTTGCCACATTACTTATTTCGATGTTTTCAGGATATCTCAAATTCATTGCAGTTTCTGCACCAAAGTTATGATCCCGTTACTCACACAGATACATGGCAATATGAGCTTTGTGTTGTATCCATTGCAATAAGTGAAAAATATATGATGCCGGTTTGTGCGCAT